GGTAAAAATGCCAAATATCCCAGAACCGCCTTATTTATGCCCTGGGTTAAAACATAAACGGCGGCACAAAACAGAGTTGCCACTGTTGAGAATAACATAACCAGGACAAGTAAACTGAAGATTTCCTGTACGTCATCAGCTATCCTGGAAATAAAAATATATTTCTTAAATCCAAAATCCACGCCTGTATTGGTCCTTGAAAAAATATTCTTTAATAAATCCACGCCTGTATTGGTCCTTGAAAAAATATTCTTTAATAAATCCACGCCTGTATTGGTCCTTGAAAAAATATTCTTTAATAAATCCACGCCTGTATTGGTCCTTGAAAAAATATTCTTTAATAAATCCACGCCAGTATTGGTCCTTGAAAAAATATTCTTTAATAAATCCACGCCTGTATTGGTCCTTGAAAAAATATTCTTTAATAAATCCACGCCTGTATTGGCCCTTGAAAAAATATTCTTTAATAAATCCACGCCTGTATTGGTCCTTGAAAAAATATTCTTTAATAAATCCACGCCTGTATTGGTCCTTGAAAAAATATTCTTTAATAAATCCACGCCTGTATTGGTCCTTGAAAAAATATTCTTTAATAAATCCACGCCTGTATTGGTCCTTGAAAAAATATTCTTTAATAAATCCACGCCTGTATTGGTCCTTGAAAAAATATTCTTTAAAAAATGCACACCTATTAATGAATCCACGCCTGTATTGGTCCTTGAAAAAATATTCTTTAAAAAATCCACACCTATTAATAAATCCACGCCTGTATTGGTCCTTGAAAAATATTTTTTAATAAATCCAGGCCTGTATTGTTCCTTGAAAAAATATTCTTTAATAAACCCACGCCTGTATGGGTCCCTGAAAAAAATATTCTTTAATAAATCCAGGCCTGTATTGGTCCTTGAAAAAATATTCTTTAATAAATCCACGCCTGTATTGGTCCTTGAAAAAATATTCTTTAATAAATCCACGCCTGTATTGGTCCTTGAAAAAATATTCTTTAATAAATCCACGCCTGTATTGGTCCTTGAAAAAATATTCTTTAATAAATCCACGCCTGTATTGGCTTGAAAAAATATTCTTTAATCAAATCCACGCCTGTATTGGTCCTTGAAAAAATATTCTTTAATAAATCCACGCCTGTATTGGTCCTTGAAAAAATATTCTTTAATAAATCCACGCCTGTATTGGTCCTTGAAAAAATATTCTTTAATAAATCCACGCCTGTATTGGTCCTTGAAAAAATATTCTTTAATAAATCCACGCCTGTATTGGTCCTTGAAAAAATATTCTTTAATAAATCCACGCCTGTATTGGTCCTTGAAAAAATATTCTTTAATAAATCCACGCCTGTATTGGTCCTTGAAAAAATATTCTTTAATAAATCCACGCCTGTATTGGTCCTTGAAAAAATATTCTTTAATAAATCCACGCCTGTATTGGTCCTTGAAAAAATATTCTTTAATAAATCCACGCCTGTATTGGTCCTTGAAAAAATATTCTTTAATAAATCCACGCCTGTATTGGTCCTTGAAAAAATATTCTTTAATAAATCCACGCCTGTATTGGTCCTTGAAAAAATATTCTTTAATAAATCCACGCCTGTATTGGTCCTTGAAAAAATATTCTTTAATAAATCCACGCCTGTATTGGTCCTTGAAAAAATATTCTTTAATAAATCCACGCCTGTATTGGTCCTTGAAAAAATATTCTTTAATAAATCCACGCCTGTATTGGTCCTTGAAAAAATATTCTTTAATAAATCCACGCCTGTATTGGTCCTTGAAAAAATATTCTTTAATAAATCCACGCCTGTATTGGTCCTTGAAAAAATATTCTTTAATAAATCCACGCCTGTATTGGTCCTTGAAAAAATATTCTTTAATAAATCCACGCCTGTATTGGTCCTTGAAAAAATATTCTTTAATAAATCCACGCCTGTATTGGTCCTTGAAAAAATATTCTTTAATAAATCCACGCCTGTATTGGTCCTTGAAAAAATATTCTTTAATAAATCCACGCCTGTATTGGTCCTTGAAAAAATATTCTTTAATAAATCCACGCCTGTATTGGTCCTTGAAAAAATATTCTTTAATAAATCCACTGTATTGGTCCTTGTATTGGTCCTTGAAAAAATATTCTTTAATAAATCCACGCCTGTATTGGTCCTTGAAAAAATATTCTTTAATAAATCCACGCCTGTATTGGTCCTTGAAAAAATATTCTTTAATAAATCCACGCCTGTATTGGTCCTTGAAAAAATATTCTTTAATAAATCCACGCCTGTATTGGTCCTTGAAAAAATATTCTTTAATAAATCCACGCCTGTATTGGTCCTTGAAAAAATATTCTTTAATAAATCCACGCCTGTATTGGTCCTTGAAAAAATATTCTTTAATAAATCCACGCCTGTATTGGTCCTTGAAAAAATATTCTTTAATAAATCCACGCCTGTATTGGTCCTTGAAAAAATATTCTTTAATAAATCCACGCCTGTATTGGTCCCGGAAAAATATTTAATAAATCCAAGCCTGTATTGGTCCTTGAAAAAATATTCTTTAATAAATCCACGCCTGTATTGGTCCTTGAAAAAATATTCTTTAATAAATCCACGCCTGTATTGGTCCTTGAAAAAATATTCTTTTATAAATCCACGCCTGTATTGGTCCTTGAAAAAATATTCTTTTATAAATCCACGCATGTATTGGTCCTTGAAAAAATATTCTTTTATAAATCCACGCCTGTAGTTTATGAAAAAATATTCTTTTATAAATCCACGCCTGTAGTTTATGAAAAAATATTCTTTTATAAATCCACGCCTGTAGTTTATGAAAAAATATTCTTTTATAAATCCACGCCTGTAGTTTATGAAAAAATATTCTTTTATAAATCCACGCCTCAGTTGGCCCTTGAAAAATATTCTTTTATAAATCCACGCCTCAGTTGGTCCTTGAAAAAATATTCATTAATAAATCCACGCCTGTATTGGTCCTTGAAAAAATATTCTTTAATAAATCCACACCTCTTATAGACCTTCAAAAAAATCTTCTGTAAAAACTTCCAAGCCTTAATAGTCCTTGGAAAACTATTTTATTATACTTACTCCAATAAAATCTGATGTTTCCGCACCAACTCGGCCATAATCTTCATATCCTTTGCGGATCTTCCCTCCATGGGTTCATATTCTTCCAAATTCCTAATAATATAATCGAAATGCATGCACAACTGAATGGCATAGGCCACGAGCCAAATGTCAGGACAAATATTGAAGACAATCGCATAATGACTGTTCATAACCTCCATGGAATAAATCACCACATAGCCCAATGGATTACGATGATCAACGACATAAGATTGTTCCTCATACAGTTTATGATAACCAAATTCGGCATTGGCGTAGCCCACCTTTACCAAGGCCACAAAATATTCCAAAATGGTCTCCACCAGTGGTGAAAACAGGATCAAGGCTGTGGCACAGAAATATAAATACAAAATTGTTGTAATCCATTTGGGCCAATAGCTCTCATTCACCCGATAGGCAAAACGATCCTCAATGGAGGTGGGGAAAATTTCACGGAATTTCTTATACAGCATTTTATGGGCTTTAATATTCCGAAGGAAATAGAAACTTTTCAATATTCCAATGGCATTGTAATTGAAGTCATTGATGAGGCGGATGAGCAAGGGTAAATTATTGGCTCCGTTTACGATTTCCGCCAAAGTTTCATCGGCCACAAAATATGTACAATACAAACAGCAGATCAGTGTTAGAAAGAAGTACAGCCTCATAAGCCATCGGGTAAGTCTTGGACGGGATAAATCCAGGAAATCATAACCCAGAGTCCTCAGCAACACACAGGGAAGATTTACAAAATCTTCAAAGTAACGCTCCACTTCGGCCATTGTCCGAAATTTATTTTCAGCTTCAAAATTCGAATTCCAAATGTTTCTTTTGCCTTTTCTCTGTTTTGGACTCCTTTACCTTCCGAGTCTGCCAAAAAATTAATACACTTCCTTGCCACGGTGGTGTCCTTTTGTTTACACTTGCCTCATTAAAATTGCATAAAATTACCTTCAATTAAAAAATTATTTGGTAGTTGGGACAGTAAACAGACAATTAACTAATTATGTATAATTATAGACTGGTTAACACTTTACACAAAATGTCAAAACAATCCTTAAGGGTTTATAACTTAATTAGCACCAACAACAACAAGGACAAAAGGGATATTTCCGGTTTAAGAATGAAAGAGGTATAAATCGATATTTTTGTATTTTTCAAGTAGCCAACAAGGCGTGGATTTTTTAAAGAATATTTTTTCAAGTAGCCAACAAGGCGTGGATTTTTTAAAGAATATTTTTTCAAGTAGCGAACAAGGCGTGGATTTTTTAAAGAATATTTTTTTCAAGTAGCCAACAAGGCGTGGATTTTTTAAAGAATATTTTTTCAAGTAGCCAACAAGGCGTGGATTTTTTAAAGAATATTTTTTCAAGTAGCCAACAAGGCGTGGATTTTTTAAAGAATATTTTTTCAAGTAGCCAACAAGGCGTGGATTTTTTAAAGAATATTTTTTCAAGTAGCCAACAAGGCGTGGATTTTTTAAAGAATATTTTTTCAAGTAGCCAACAAGGCGTGGATTTTTTAAAGAATATTTTTTCAAGTAGCCAACAAGGCGTGGATTTTTTAAAGAATATTTTTTCAAGTAGCCAACAAGGCGTGGATTTTTTAAAAATATTTTTTCAAGTAGCCAACAAGGCGTGGATTTTTTAAAAATATTTTTTTGCAGACCTCAACAACAAGGCGTGGATTTTTTAAAAATATTTTTTCAAGTAGCCAACAAGGCGTGGATTTTTTAAAGAATATTTTTTCAAGTAGCCAACAAGGCGTGGATTTTTTAAAGAATATTTTTTCAAGTAGCCAACAAGGCGTGGATTTTTTAAAGAATATTTTTTCAAGTAGCCAACAAGGCGTGGATTTTTTAAAGAATATTTTTTCAAGTAGCCAACAAGACGTGGATTTTTTAAATATTATTTTTTTCTATTTTTTTCAAGTATCCAGCCAACAAGGCGTGGATTTTTTAAAGAATATTTTTTCAAGTAGCCAACAAGGCGTGGATTTTTTAAAGAATATTTTTTCAAGTAGCCAACAAGGCGTGGATTTTTTAAAGAATATTTTTTCAAGTAGCCAACAAGGCGTGGATTTTTTAAAGAATATTTTTTCAAGTAGCCAACAAGGCGTGGATTTTTTAAAGAATATTTTTTCAACAAGTAGCCAACAAGGCGTGGATTTTTTAAAGAATATTTTTTCAAGTAGCCAACAAGGCGTGGATTTTTTAAAGAATATTTTTTCAAGTAGCCAACAAGGCGTGGATTTTTTAAAGAATATTTTTTCAAGTAGCCAACAAGGCGTGGATTTTTTAAAGAATATTTTTTCAAGTAGCCAACAAGGCGAAGAATATTTTTTCAAGTAGCCAACAAGGCG